ATTATGTGAAGGTGGTAGAATCAGAATGATGAGTTAATTTTGAGCAACAGGAAAGTCCGAGGCCCAGATGACTCTCTGACCACTGACTTGAATCACTGGAAGAATGGTGGTGCCCTTCCCAAAGGACAAAAATCCCAAAGCAGGAGTGGGTTTAGTTTTGCACAAAACAAATCCAAGACACCTTTATGAAGTGTTATATCCTATAGGTGATAAATATCGAAATCTGGAGAGAAAGCTGAGCTAGAGCTGCAGACATGGAGGTCATAAGCAGATAGGTGATAGTGAAATCACAGAGTATATAAGTCACACAAAGAGACCTCACGATGTAATTCCGGGAGAATGAGTCAGAGATGGGGTACAAGACTCAGGACAGATTTTCTCCACCACTACTGTGATCTCGAGGCTACCATGATAATGTTAATCTATTATTCATGAAATTACTTGCTATGTGATCTTGGCCCAATCTTTTATTCAGTTTGAGTTTTGGTTTTCTTACCTATAAGATGTGTATAATCATATTCAAATAACAAAGTGTTTTGAGACCTAAATTGGGTAAACTGTGTTAAAACACCTAGCTCAGAACTTGACACATAATAAACTCTCAAAGGTATATATGTTGAATCTGAAACCAGAAAGCTCATAGGAAGTTTGACTCATCATCACCCCAGCCCCAGAATTGCTTCTTCTCCTCTGTCCTCTCTTATTATCAGCTGATGAAGACAAAATCCTAGAAGTTGTCTCCTGTCCTCCCTCTACTTGACACGTCTAATCTCAGCCCAGCCCTGTCCGATCAGCTCACCTCTTGAACAGCACCCTTGCCTCCACTAAGACCTGGATCACTGCAAAGCTCCTTCCTGGATCCCTTGACTCCCCAGTGTACTCTCTACACTGCAGGCGCAGTGAGCTTTTCTAAATGGGAAATCTAATATAATGTACTTGCTAAAATCCTTTTCCCCATTGCATAAAGTCTAACATAATTTTACTTAACCTCGCAACGTCTGATCTCACCACTCCTCTCTTCGAAGACTGTATTCTGGCCACATGAGTCTACTTGCGCTCTAATCATATCTCCTTTCCGAAACCCACCCACTTGATCCTTTCACATCCCCTTGAAGGTTCAGTCACCTCCTAAAGGCTTCCTGAAGCTGGCTTGGGTACCTCTCCCACATGCCGCCATAACAGCCTGTTCTGTGTGGCACTTCTCATATTCATAGTCCCTGGTCACTCTCAATAGATATTATATGACTTACAGACGAGATATACCTGACTTATTACGTTATCCCTTGAACACAGAATGATCTGTAGTATGATTAAGTGTTTAATATCTATCTGTTTGGATGAATAAATTTAAAAATCTGTTAGAAAGATCTATCTGTTAAGAAATTTGGTGAATTACTTAAAACATATAAATTTCTTCTCTATCTTTGAAGGCAGAATTTTCAGATGTGTGACCTTGGGCAAGTTAAACCTCTGTTTATGATTATTTGTAAAATGGAGATAACAATTATACCTACCTCATAAAGTTATTGTGAGGATTAAAAGAATTACACACAAACATCGTTTAGAACTGGCCTTGAAAATACTTAAGAGCTCCCAATACTTGCTATCAAGTTTTTATCACTGTCACTATTGTTGATATTGTTACAGTTTTCCTGTAAGATGGGTCCCTTTGCGTTTGGCACCTGTCATGAGCCAGAGCTCAAGACAGAATTCACAAGGTCACAAGTTAAAAAATTGAGGAAAAGTCACAGGTCAGCAAGAAGAAAAGTCATGAGTCTTCTGACCCTCTCACCGTCCCCATGGAGGGGCCAGGACCACATTCTCTACCGGACACATTGTGGGTAAAATTTTCAGGCAAGGGAACCCACCCTCTCGTCGCTCTTACAGGGCACGCATGAGAGCAAGTCTGTCAAGAGGCATAAGCAATCTAGATTCGGTTGCCAACTGTCCACAGGACTCATCGGAAGCTAAGGATCTGGGACCAATGGAAAACAGTGACCCTCTGGACAGGAGGCGGAAGCCACAAGTCTTACAGGAAGCTGGGTTTTGGTCAAGTACCTACCTCAGAGAAGAGCAAGCTTCCAGTCTCATCTGGCTCCTTATCCAGGAAAACCAGAGTGAGATTATGAAATCATTTTTGGACAAGGCTGCTTGATGCAGCAGTTTTTTAAATCAATACATCCTTCAGCGAGGACTTCAAATGCTGTCATGCTTATACTTAGAATTTATTTTGAATAGGTTGAGACACTAAGTTTTCCAAGAATCTGCTCATCTATCAAGGCAAATCCAAAAATTTCTTCTCATAGCAAGGTCAACAATATTTATTAATGTGTCAGGCAATATACTAAATGATAAGCATAGAGAATTTAGAGGTATAATTCCTACTTGTAGGCACGTACAGTCTTAGTGGAAAGGCAGATGAAAAAATTACTGTACACTGTCATGGATGCAATCATAGAAACATGCACAAGACTCAGAGGCACTAAGAAATGACTCTATGGCCAGGCGCGGTGGCTCACCCCTGTAATCCCAGCACTTTGGGAGGACAAGGGAGGTGGATCACGAAGTCAAGAGATTGAGACCATCCTGGTCAACCTGGTAAAACCCCATCTCTACTAAAAATACAAAAATTAGCTGGGCATGGTAGTGCACGCTCATAGTCTCAGCTACTCTGGAAGCTGAGGCAGGAGAATCGCTTGAACCCGAGAGATGGAGGTTTCATTGAGCTGAGATCATACCACTGCACTCCAGCCTGGTGACAGAGCAAGAGTCCATCTAAAAAAAAAAAAATTACTATTCAGTTTGAGATTATATTTTGCAAACTCTGAAATAAATATTTTTATTTATGCAGAATATTAAACCTATAATACAAGTAAAAACATTGAAGTCTAAATAGCAGATACTATGACAAAAGATAGCATGGTAATCACTACTAAAATTGTATTGGGTTATTGGGTGATAAGAAATTGGAAAGAGGAAGCTGTTATATCATGAGAACTAAAATGCAGTTCTGGGGAGAGGTCAGAGGAAAATGTTGTAAGCTAAAAAGAATTTCATTCAAATTACAACCCTGCCACCTACTAGCCATGTGAATTTAGGCAACTTTCCTTACTCCTGAGTCTAAATTGTCTCATTTAAGGAATGGGGATAATAATATCTACCATGTTGAGCTATTTTAAGCAGCAAATGAATAAAAATATGCAAAGCATATAGCACATGGTGGATACTCAATAAAGGCAGCTACTTTTTTTTCCTAAGAATATAACCTCACTTGTCATCTATTTTATTCCATGCATTTATAATTAGATAACTGAAAAATTGACTATCAAGCACTCCTAGAGTGGGATTTCAACATTATTTTATAATGGAATTCTGTCCTGTTTTTCTCAGTTATTTCTCTAAGCTATCCACAATAGTTTTGATGCATTGCAAGTATCTTACACACATCCTCCTTTAATAGAACATGTAACAAAATGTCTTAAAATCCACACCTAGTTGGTGGTAAAAGCAGTCAGAAAACAGATGAGAAAAACCCTGTTCAATAACAAAATATAAAATGAACAGAAAAATTCTAGCGTCCTGACAGGCGAAAGCGGTCTGATCAAAAAGACGATGAGATTATGAAAAATCCCCTATTACTGAAAATGCTAAAACTTGGCAGTTAGGAGGTTCCTGAAGACATATTACTGTTCCTTTTTTACAAACAGCCTCTAACATAAATTAAGAATATGTTACAGTCTTGTTCAATAGTGTGAATTTAAAAAGAAATCAAATTGCATTTTTATATTTCTGTTTTTTTGAGAGAGACAGGGCATGGGGAAGTTAAATTTTGCCTGTCTTTAACTATTAGTCTGTTCCTCAGTTTTCCAAACTCAACAATGGGGACAATAAACATTTTCTTTTTGTCTTTTTCCCAGAGATAAGAATAAATATTCACATGAGTACATTTGAACATTTTATAAAAACCTAGGCTACATAAATTCAGGGTCAATATTATCATATTGCTAGGAATTTCACAGGTGGATCATAACTAAACAGATGAATTTCCTGCCTTATTCTGTGATTTCCTAAGTACCAAGAAAAATAGTTATTACCTTATTCGTCTTAACTTTGGTCTCTAACGCAGATTCCTTTCCCAAGAGCTGCACTGTTCCATAGTCATTAGCCACATGTGGCTATATACATTTAAATTAATTAAAAGTAACAAGTTGAAAATTCAGTTTCTTCATTCTAGTAGCTTTATTTCAAGTGCTCACTAACCATGTGTGATTGGGTGCCACCATGTTGTGGAGAGAACATTTCTGCCATCACAGAAGTTCCGCCTGGGCACACTGCCTCAGAGGATACTCAGGCTAATGCTCCCATTTCCCTGTGGCCTTAAGCTAGCCAGTGATAGCATTTTGAGGATTAAACAACCTTAGGACTTATAGGAGGGTGACTTCATAATCAGGTCAGTGTCAAACTAAAGGAAAGCGAAATGTCAGAGAGCAGGAATTAAAGATGACAAAAGAAGGGATGATGCTTAGAAACAGAAAACACAACGGCATTATTATACAAGGATAAAACGTGGCTCAGGAAATCAGTGCTTCAGCAGAAGTTTTCTTACAATTTTTACTTAAGACATTTGTTATATGTGATTTGCTCTAAATGCATCAGTCACAATACTGACTTCCTGATGTTCTCACTGGATTTTGAGCTGTTCCAGCTAAGTCACACACAAAAATTGCTTCTTAAGGTTGTAATGAACTTAACCTCTGTATACTGGTAGCACATGTTTAAAACGTACTTTCCCTTCACAGGAGTGAGCAGATGCTTCAGAGCTGTTTGAAATTTTTGTTCACAGCTTTTGTATTTATCCTTCTTTAGGTCCTTGTACTCACACATAGTTCTCATTCTTACCATTATTTTGGCTTCTACTGCTTGTATAAAAAGAAATTATGACATAGCATGTGTATTATTGCATAAAAATAAGAGAGTAATCTGTATATGTTTGCATTTAGGTCATTCTGTCCATTGAAGAAGGGTACAGACTTCCAGCTCCCATGGGCTGTCCAGCATCTCTACACCAACTGATGCTCCATTGCTGGCAGAAGGAGAGAAATCACAGACCAAAATTTACTGACATTGTCAGCTTCCTTGACAAACTGATCCGAAATCCCAGTGCCCTTCACACCCTGGTGGAGGACATCCTTGTGTAAGAGGCATAATATTTAGTTTTTTTCTCTTGACATTTATAATTTCTTTCAGGCTGTAGATAAGAATAACAGGTAGAAAGGAAAAAAATGGCCTTGATAACTGTCTGGTTGTTGACTTTGTAGAAACCGTATTTCACTTACAGCTGAAAAAGAGAATTATTAACATTAAAGTAAAAATGGACTCTTTTTAAACAAGATAACAGATTCCCCTTCTCTTTTCTCTCTCTCTAATCTTTCTGAATTATTTTGTATATATCTTTTTCTGTTTGGGTCTTTGATATGTACATAGCCTTTTTAAATTGATTGATCCTTTTTTACTTTTAGAAGCAGAACGTGTGTGTACATATGCTTGACGTGTGTGTGTGTGTGTGTGTGTCTGTGTGTTTGTGCAGCCCCTTTAATTTTCCTGCCTACTCTATGTTCTGTTCCTCAATTTGAAATGGCAAGCCAGACAGCGGCAATTTGTGAATCAGCCCAGAGGAAGGAAATTTCCTTCTGATATGATCACAGCTAGTTGTTGTTACTCTCCATTCCTGAAACCAGAAAAGAACAGACAGCAAGACAAGAAAATGGAGGCACTCATACACCATTTTGTAAAAGTCAGTAGACTTGAGAAGATCTGCTCACCTCCCTGTGAAGAGCAATTATAAAGGAAGAGTAGAGGGAAAAAGGACTATCATCTATATCAGAAAATATTACATTTAATTATCATTAAGTTAAAAACATATTTCTTCATTTAGAATAAATTGAAGTTAGAAATAACCAAAGCATATCCAAAGCTCACTTTCTTCGCTCAGGGGATGGCTGGGGGCTATTCAGACATTCGACTTCAGATCACAGGTTAAAAAGCCAGTACAGTGACAATAAGGCCAAGGCTCTTCGAGGACTGTTTGAAACAGATCTCAGTTCACAGCAGAGCACTTAAGAGTTCCCTCTAAATCACTAATTGGCAGCCTCAGTAAAGTGAAGCCAAGCATGAAATAGCTAGAGATTAAACTATGACTCTGGCCCATCTTCCCTGAAGAAGCCCGACACAGGAAGCAGTAAGGGAAGGAAAGGCACTTCGGGTTTTATCACGAAAGCAATGGACAGCCATGGAAGGATTTCAAGCAGGGGAATAGCATGATTACATTTGCATTTCTGGAAGATCGCTCTAGGGATGATTTACACTGTGTGTGCAAACACGGAACAAGAGTGGAAACAGGCGGTTTTACATTTTCAGCAACTAAATCTAGAAAAGATCAGGGCTTGACTCCTGATATGGGAATGAGCTTGGGGGCCTGGAGATAAGAGAATTTTGTTATTATTATTCCCTAATAATAAGTGATAATAACATTTATTATTAGAAAAACCAACATATCTTAGTCACCGATTGAATATGGAGGAAGGAGGAGAAAAAAAAATCAAAGATGTTTGTCAAGTTTCTTTCTTATACAAGCTGGCTGATGGTATTTCCACAGAAATGGAGAGAGAGGGACAAGTCTTCGGGATAGAAACGAGACCATTTTGAGCATGCTGAGTTGCAGGTGCCCGTGGGACATCTAGACGGTTATATTTATAGGTTGAACCTCAGGTAAAAAGATCTGGGCTAGAGATCTAGAGTTGAAGATCATCAGTATATAGATCGGAGCTGAAGTTTTAAATGTACTTAACACAGCCCACAGAGAAGATAAAGAATGCAAATAAATAGTGGAAAAGGATGAAACCCTCTAATTTAAGACATGAACTGAACAAAAATTACCAAAGGAAGCTGAAAAGAGAAGGCACACAGGTAATCAGGAAAACAAACAAGAGCAGTATTGTCGAAGGCAAAAGAAGGAGCGTAATGTCCACGGCTTCACAAAATTGCAGTAAAGTAAAACATGCAATGTCTCCATTGGAGTCAGCAATGAGACGTTCCGTTGTTCATGCACAACCTTTGGTGCAGCATTTTCAATCAAGTTGTGTAAGACAGATTACAGCAGAGGAAGACTGAATATGAGGTCAGAGAAAGGAGCGGTACAGAGTACCAATTTTTTTTCAAGAAACCTGTCTCTGATGAGAAAGAAAAGTAGTTAGAGGAAATGTTTCTTGCTTTTTGTGAGGGGACTTGGTCACGCTATAATATTGAGGAGAAAGAGCTGGTAGTGAGTCTGCATTCATGGAGGAGGATACTGGCATCCATATACTGAAATCCTTTAATCTGGGCCCCTCCACAACTAGTGCCCATCGACAAAGCTGTCTGACTGTGCTATAATATAGAAGCAGGCAGTAAGAACCTTCTTTCTGAAGAAAAGCAAATAAAGCAATTTCTTCCCTGCTTTTTCAAGATTATGAATGATCATCCTATTTGGAAAATACTCTTGAAGAATGTAAGATGAGAAAATGTCACAACATAAGAAGGATCCAGAGGTTAAGAAGACGAGAGGGTGTGTCTGAGGGCCAGAGGTCTGAGATTTAGTGGGCTGGTTTGCAGTCCAGCGGAACAGGCCCGGGAGCGGCCAGCTCTGTGATATCACTGCCACACGCAGGCCAAAAGCTGGGTGCTTTATAGAAACCTGACAGCTTGATTCCTCTAAAGTCTCATCTCTGGGAAACCAAATGGACGTTTTTGTGACTGATTTGCTATCCTTGTTTGTGACAAAGACGTATGTGCAACTGCTTTTGCCGTTAATATTATATACTTTTGTTTGCGAAACAGAAAGAATCTGTTCTAAGGTTCACACGCCTGAACCTTTGCCAGCGTTCTCATTTTCACTGCAACCTGGATGGGTTCCCCTGCTCCACCCTCTTACCTCCAATAGCGCCCACCCACCCTTTTCCTGATTCCAGAGAACGAAGACTGTTTAGGGACGAAGACATGGTAGATTAAAGGATAGCAATATTAGCTAAAGAACACCTGGCTTGTTTCACGCTCATAAAACTGTGACACTGCTCCTGTGTCTCCCAAATCACAGAGCCCCGTTTGCCCCCGAGTGACGCTGGATTAAGGATACCTGACACACGCAGAATTTTCATCTTCTCTCCTATTTATCCCTGAAACCTGAAAAGGAGTCCAGGTGTATAATCCGCAGCAACTCTTATGAAATTCTCCTGCACTCTCCTTTTCCCAAGACCCCAGATTTCTCTCACACCTACATGTTGATATTACTCTCTCATCCACTGGGTCCCCATGGTTTTTATTCCATTCTAATTGCTTTTTTTCCCAAGACTTACATGAGAAGCTGATATCCTTTCTCTCGACAGAGTAGTAAGAGGGGAAGAAATTAAAGTGACAAAGGGGATGAGAAAAGCCGGGAAGCCCCCAGTTTAATATTTTTAAACTAACACAGTGGAAATTTAATATTTTTAAACTAACACAGTGGAAATTTAATAATTTTATACTAACAGAGTGGAAATTTAATATTTTTATACTAACACAGTGGAAATTTAATATTTTTATACTAACAGTGGAAATTTAATGTTTTTATACTAACAGTGGGAATTTAATGTTTTTATACTAACAGTGGGAATTTAATGTTTTTATACTAACATAGTAGAAATTTAATATTTTTATACTAACACAGTAGAAATCTAATATTTTTATACTAACATAGTGTTAATCTGATATTTTTATACTAACATAATGGAAATGTAATATTTTTATATTAACCCAGTGGAAATTTAATATTTTTATACTAACAGTGGAAATTTGATATTTTTATACTAACACAGTGGAAATTTAATATTTTTATACTAGCATAGTGGAAATTTGATATTTTTATAGTAACAGTGGAAATTTGATTTTTTATACTAACAGTGGAAATTCGATATTTTTATACTAACAGTGGAAATTAATATTTTTATACTAACAGTGGAAATCTAATATTTTTATACTAACACAGTGGAAATCTAATATTTTTATACTTACAGTAGAAATTCGATATTTTTATACTAGCATATTGGAAATTTCATAAACCTGTATCTGCAGTCTTTCCTCTCAAAAGCCAGAGTACCTAAACTGAAAAAGCGTTAGTCAGAGAAGGCCTTCGTTATTCCGTGCAGCAGCTACCTTTTCCTTTCTGCTGATATTCTTGTGCCTGACACGCTCCCATGGGAATATTAAACCTCTGTGCAGTTCCCAGCATGCTTGCTTTCTCTCCTACTCACTCCAGAAAGTATATGGATGTACCATATAAGTGAATGTGGCAGTTTGATAACGTTAAATCCAACTAACAGTAAGAAGTTCATTTGCAGAACCACTGTTTTAATGTGGCAGTTATCCTTTCAAATGTGAATTTCAAACTACCCCTACATTCATTCACTTTACAATAGCATCTTATAACTGCCTTTCAGATACTTATTTGTAGCTGTCATATCATGCACAGCCCTTGGGAGAAAGGAGCCAGCTTGAGGCCAAGATTGTGTGTAGAACAGCTTCTGGAGCGGTGCCTGGCCATGTACTTCAAAACACCTTTTCCTCCCTCTCCACTAACCCTTAACCGTCAGGACCAGCCTTGCTCCCAGCCCCAAGTGTATATCCCAGAGAGCCCAGGATTAGCTCTGGGATCCTATAGTTTAATACCACAAGGTGGCTTGGTAACTACATGGTGGCCCTTCACTCAGCCCTACCTCCCCCGCCCTCACCCACATTGTCCTACACATTTGTTCTCCATCATCTCCAGCCTTCACCCCTGATTACTCCACACACTGAAGGGTACTGAGTGCACCAGGCTGTAGTCAGCTGGCCAGTGTCCCTCAGGACAGAGTTTCAATGTAATGGGAAAAATAATGCTTTCTTTTAATCCCTGTTCCAGGTCCCCAGTGTGTCACCAACAAAGAATTTCAAACATTAGGGGCTCCTTGACTGTCAACTCAAATGTGGTATCCAGGGATGGGCAGCAGTCGTCCAGATGGACAGTGCCAGTCTATGACAGTCAGCTACCTCACAAATAATGTTTTGCCCAAGTCAAGACACCTTATGTGCTCTGTATTCTTACTACCCACTGGGCCATCATTAGGGATCTTATAAAACCTTAGC